TCCTATCCTATCCTATCCTATCCTATCCTATCCTATCCTATCCTATCCTATCCTATCCTATCCTATCCTCCTCCTCCTCCTCGTTCTTCTCCTCCTCCTCCTCCTCGTCCTCCTCCTCCTCCTCCTCCTCCTCCTCCCCCTCCTTCTCCTCCCCCTTCTCCTCCTCCTCCTCCTCCTCCTCCTCCTCCTCCTCCTGCTCCTCGAGAAACGACTCGCAGCGGCCCTCGTCCCTGGGCCGAGCCGCGCCACGCCCACTACGCGGCCCTCCTGCGCACGGCTGCAAGGCCCCGCCGCTTGGGGCGAGAGCCCCGCCAAAGGAGGAGGGCAAGAGGGAGGGAGGCCCCGCCTGGATGATCCGCATCCCCTCAGATCATGTACACACCCACGCCGACGAAGACCCCGTCCACGGCGTATATCTGACAGACTCCATATCCACTAGACATCAATGAGTGAACACGGCAGCGAGGCCCTCTCACGGCCACCCAACATCTCATTGAATATAGAATAAGCGCCCCCATCAGACATACCGGTTCAAAGTCTATATCTGCAATCGTCACCATGTCGCGCACGATAAGAAACTTTGCAGGCGAGCGGCTCACCTCCCTCAGAATAAGTAGCTCGGTCGAGCTTCATGGGCCCCGCCAGGGCCTAGGCTGAGACTCCCGCGGCCCTCCGTAGAGGGCTGGTGCGGCTCACCTCCGTCGGTGTTTCGACTTGCGCGGCCCCGAACCATCAGCAACTCCGTCGTCCTCCTCAGCTCCCCCGTTCTTGAACTCCAGCAACCACTTCGTCAGGGTCCCGTCAAGGGTGCGCTGAGGGGACACGTAGAGCTTCGCATTCCGAATGGCAAACAATTCTTTCAACTTGGACCTGATCTGTGGATCGCACTGCTCCTGCATCATGAGCGCTCACACCCATGGACGGCCCTCCTTGGGCGTCGGGTGGCGGGGCCTGGCACGGAAGAGGAAGAGGTCCAGGGCCGACGGAGTCAAAGAGGCGCACTGGGCCACCAAGATCTTGCCCTCCTGCTTCGTCTCCGCCACCGCCCCCAGCTGCTTCTGCAAGAGTTCCATCATACACTTGAAAACGACCGACCTCTGGCTGCCACCATGGGCGTGCGCCCTCAGCTCCTTCTTCTCACCCGTGGCTGCATCGTCTCCACCTCCGCCACTGACTTCCTCACGGCGCGCTTTCTCATCCTTCCGCCACAGGTCACGGATCTGCGTCGTCGCCGCTTTCTCCTCCTCGCCTTTCAGGATGACCACGAAGTTCGCCCGATCCTCCAAGCACCCCACTCGTCGGTCCAGCGATATCAACACAGGCACCATCTTGCGCACCACCGTGTGGGCAGAGGCCTTGCGGGGGTCGGCGTGCGATCCGCGTTCCTTCGGCGGCTGGGCTGCTCCTCCTCCTGGGGCTGCATTCGCCAGAGCCGCGAGCATCACCACCAAGAGCGTGTGACGGGAGGCCAGCTCCGTCGGGGCACGATGCACACGGAACTCACGAAGGGCTCGGGCACATACAGCTGCATTTACAACGAGAGGCCCGAAATCTTTCGATGATGCTGGCATTCGTTGAAGTGTTGCGTCAAGCTGTGCTGTTTCTCGAACTTGGTGTTGCAGTACTTGCGTTGATGTTGCCAGGCTTCGATACTTGTCGAGGTATATTGCTTGTCCCGACGAGCTGCTCTGCGCCGTGCACCTTTCACCCAGACCTCGAACGGCGCGTGCGTGCACGTATATATGTGGTCCATCGTGCTCACCGACTTGCCACAATACTTGCATGAGAAGGTCGCTCCCTGTACGCTCACCTGCTTCCTTACCCTCGGCTTGGCAGTAACTTTGGCTAGACGACGACCACGACGGGGTGGAGCCTTCGGCTGGGGGTCCTGCTGCGGGGGTCCATGTCCATGACCTTGGGGCTCTGCTCGTGGGGGCTGTTTTCCTCGATATCGGCGACTCCTGGGCTTCCCGTCGATGGCGGCTTGGCCGAGGCCTGGAGGGGGTCCCACTGGAGGCTGCTGGGGCGCAGGCTGCTTGCCACGGATCTTCCTTTTCACGTTGATCGCTCCTGGGAAGTGGACCCGACTCGCACACCGTCGAACGTGCTCGGCATAGGATCGATTTGAGATGACCACGCTGCAATGGAGGCACACCTTGGATGACGACATAAGACGCTGTTTTCTTGGTCGAATCTGACCTGAACAATGTCGACGTGTTTGGCGCATCCATTTGGGTGGAGGTGGTCGCCACACCTTGGGCAAACGCGGAGCTGCACTCCGCCATGGCCCTTCACCTCCACCCGCTGTGCCTGCTGGGGTCCTCGACGATCGTGCGGTCCCCGATCTCGGCGTTGGCGGCGGAGTACGCGCGGGCGTGCGCCTCCGACTTGATCTTTGCCACCAACTCCGACCAGAGCTTGCCGGCCTCGACCCTGGCGGTCTCGCGCCATCGAGCGTGCCATTCGACCTCGGGGATCGTCGTCTTGGCCACCACCAGCTGGAGCAAACGCCAGTGCCATTGTCGGAGGTGGAGGTGTTGGCCTGACGGCTCGTCTCGTCCTGGCCTGTCGGCGAGCGCAGCACCCAATAGCTGCACCTCCCAGCGGCTGTCGTCGTAGCGGCCGAGATGCCCCAGGTAGGAAATCGCACGGTGGGTGATCTGCACCTCGATCAGCTCGATGCCCAGCCATTCGTAGATCATCGTCATGTTGATCTTCCTGGCCTCCATCTTCCTCAGCGTCAGACCCCGAGCTCGATAGATCACGTAGCGTGCACAGCTGCCCACAAAAGACTGAGCGCTCGGTGTCCCTGGCAGAGTACGCACGCACCTCGCTCCCATACAACAAGCATCCTATCACGGCGGCGGTGAAGACCTGACCCTGAATCTTCAGCGGCAACTTGGAGGTGCTCAGCGGGTACTTTAACTTGGCCCAGGCCTTGGATGCTGCCTGAATCCTCTTGGTCGTGTCCGTTCTGGCACCTCCATCGGTGTCGACCCACGCGCCTAGCACGCGCACGGTGTTGTGGAAACCTGCTGGCAACTCCCCGTTCTCGTCGTGCACGCCCGTCTGCAAGAACTCGTCCTTGCCAGGGTGCACCTCCTCGCCACGATCGCCCAGAGTATCGAACACCATGCGCCTGGTGGCTTCGAGGTGCTGGGCCTCGGTCCACGACGACGTGTCGTCCGCGAAACCCATCACACGGAACACCCGCTGGGCCTCGGCGTCGGGGTCTCGCCATGGTCGCCGTCCCATCGCACATCTCAGTCGCGTCGAACACTGTGGGCGGACCCCAGGCAGGTTGTCCAGCAGCTCCCTCAAGGAATAGTTGTGGTAAACATTGAACAGGCCACAGGAACTGGCACAACCTTCGTGCAATCCACGAAAGAGATGGTAGGTGCTGGAGGTCCCGTGCCTCAACTTGACTTGTACTCGGTTTCGGAATGCAGACGGCGAAACACGGCCACGAGCGTCGGCGGTAATCCCTCGATCCCCATAGCGTCCCATAACGGCTCCCGCGGCACTATGGTAGGCCTTCTTGATGTCCGCGGGGTATAGCACAGCCCTCTTCTTCTGGAACAGGGCGTACTCGGTCTCCCACTTCCCCCGATGCTGCTCCCACGTGCCTGCTCGCTCGCAAGCTGCCCGTGACCTGTGCAAGTGCAGCTCCCACTCGGCATGCAGCTCGCAAATCACACGCGTGACAACCATGATGTACCGTGTCGATCTCCCCTTCCGAAACCCCCACTGCTTGTTGACAAACATCCCCTGAGCCTCGAAGTACGCGGTAGCTCGTGTGATCGCTATCTTGGCTATCAGACGGGTTAACATCGTCAGCAAACATATCCCACTGTAATTGTCCAGCGACGTGCGAGACCCTTTCTGCTTCCATAGCATCAAAACTACTGCTTGGTGCGCGGCGGCGTTCCAGTGCGGCTGAGTTCCCTCCTGGGGGGGGCTCCTCCCACATGGCACAGATCAGTTCGACCACTCGCATCTGCGTGGAAGTCGGAGCACTGCGGAGCATGTCTATGGCAACCTCGTCCCCCCCTGGCGCCGAGACACGCATGCTCTGCATCACGCGCACGAACTCGTCGAAGTTCGGCATCACACCCAACACCTGGACGGTCGGTTTCTGGTCTCGATGGGCTGCCACCTGAACTCTCGGGAGGGCCTGGGTCCCACTGAATTTCTCGAAATGCTGACGGGAATCCTCGGGTGTGATCGTCTCGACGTCCTGGAAATTGGTGTCCCTGAGGTTGACCCCTAAATCCTTGAGCAGGCCGTGCTGTTTCTCTACCTCGTGATTCGTGTAGGCCCACTGGATCTCGCGACACAACTCGTTTATCACCTCCCCCTTCTTTCGAAACTCGAGCCCCCTCTCGGACTTCTTGACCTGGGTGTGCCTGGCTTTCTCGCTCGGGAAGTTCGGGGTCTCCTCGGCCTGCTGTACCCTTCGATAACTCTCGGCTACGCGTTCTCGGCTTTGAAGAAGTTCGGGTCGACATTTCTCTAGACATGGTAGATCGCATCTGCGGGACCCCCAGCCTACGACCTGCTCGGCGACTTCGGTGAGGCTCGACGCTAGCTCCCCCCACTCGATCACTCCCGCATGCGGCTGGCTCGCTCTCTCCGCGTCGTTCACCGTCAATTTCTGCCCCCACTGCTGTCCGAGGCCAGCTGCGATTTCCCCTGGCCCCCGAGCTCGGTCCCAGCGAAGCGGTTTTTAGGGTTGATCTGTGTGAGGGTCCTGAAGTTTGCGACGTCCTGGGAGGAGAGCACGACCGAACGGCAGGAACGACACGGACTTGCCCCGATGGTCGCACCCCGCAAATTCACTCGTGGTGAGTCTCCTCCACCTCCTCCTCGATCCCCCAAACGTAGACAGAACGATATCCTGCTCGTACCATTTCTTTGCCACTCCATGGAACCATGTCCCACTTCTTTTGCACGGTAAATGCGAATCCACTGCTCTGAGGTTCTCCCCCTGGGCCCACTCGATGAGCTGGTACGACATCTTCGACGCCGGGGTCTGCAAGGTCATGGTGCCCACAAAACCCTGACTCAGGTGCCCTCGCTGGTCCGCCCCGAGATGAGAGTTCGCATCGCCCCCCTACGATGATCTGACAGCCCGATCTCCGAAGATTTTGGAGCAGAAGGGTTCCTGCTCGAAGTGCACTTTCCGCTGGAGCCTGGCCCCCTGCGTCGGCGCATACTGCGCACAGATCACATATTGACACCCTTGCAGACGGAGGCGCATCCCCAACCATCGATCTGAGTCTGGTGCCACTGCCATCACTGAGCCATCCTGCTGCCACTTGCTCACCAGGCATCTCGAGAGAATGACGGCCACTTTTCCGAAGACAAACATGGTGAACTCCTCCATGCCAACGATCGCTGGCGTCCTCTCTCCTCCGAAAATCCACTCTGGCGTGTTCACACCCGACAGAAGCATGATGTGTGCTCGCTCGGTGCGCATGCGCGTCACAATGTGGGCCAGCATACTGCGATACATAATCTGGGTCCAAGACATCTGCTGCACATTCAACACTCCAATGCGAAGCTCGGATGGCCTCTGAGGGGCGTTGCAGGCATGCCACTTTCGTCGGAGACGTAGTGCCTTGCCCGTACTGCATGAAGTAAGCCAGGTAGATACTGGCGTTGTGGATGGCGATGCCGAAACGGACGCAGGGACGCCAAAACCTGCGCGCGAAAGGCTCTGGGCCTTCTGTGTCTGATGAAACCTTCTGTCTCGTGGCTCGCCGTCATCACGGATTGTCACAATGGAGATCCCCATTGAGTTGCTACCTTTGAATAGCGTGCATCCGCCCGCGGCCCCCCCGATCCCCTGGCGCCACCTTGGAGGCAGTCTCATGTTCGGGCCAGGTGCTCCTGCTTCTCCTCCTCCTCCTTCTCCTCCTCCTCCTCCTTCTGAACCTCCTCCTCCTCCTCCCTCCTCCTCCTGAACCTCATCCTTCTCCTCCTCCTCCTGAACGTCCTCCTCGACCTCCTCCTCCCCCTCCTCCTCCTCCTCCTCCTCCTCTCTCACTCCTCCTCCTCCTCCTCCTCCTCCCTCCTCGCCTCTTCTCTTTTCCTCCTCCTCCTCTCGCCTACTCCTCCTTTTTTCCTTCCTCCGCCTCCTCCTCTCCCCTCCTCTCCTCTCCGCCTCTCCTCCTCCTCCTCCCTCCTCCTCCTCCTCCTCCCCTCTACCTCCTCCTCACCTCCTCTTCCTTCTCCTACCTCCTTTCCCCCCCCCAATCCTCGTTTTCCTTGTCCTCCTCCTCCTCCTCCTCCTGCTCAATCTCATCCTCCTCTCCTCCTTCTCCTCCTCCTCCTCCTCCCCGCCTCTTCCTCACTCCTCCCGCCTCCTCCTCCTCTCCTCCCCCTCCTCCCACTTCCTCCTTCTCCTCCTACTCCTCCTGCTCACCTCTCCTCCTCTCCTCCTCTTCTTCTTCTTCCTCTCTCCTCCTCCTCTCTTCCTCCTCCTTGTCGTCCTCCTCCTCCCCCCCCCCGGGCCCTCCTCCTCCTCCTCCTCCTCCTCCTCCTCCTCCTCCTCCTCCTCCTCCTCCTCCACCTCAAGGGCCTCAAGGACCAAGGCGCGCCGAGTCAATCCATGTTCAACTGGCGCTGGAGGATGGTCAGTCAGAATCGTCTGACTGACCTCGTGCACCGACAGGCGGGAGGAGAGGAGCCTCATCTTCCTCGCAGTGCAACGGTCCTGGGACGACAGGGCCTGGGCCGTCTTGGGCAGGGGAAGGAAGAGGCGGGGGAAGGGGGGGACGGGGAAAGAAGGGCAGAGACGAAAGGGGGAAAGACGGGCCCAGCCTGAAATTAGTCCCAGGATAAGGCCACCTGAGGAGCTTAGCCCTCTCGGCGCTCCTCGTGGGGGGGTCACAATCTCTTAGGAGGCGTCGGCCAGCACGGACGCTGGCCAGTCCACCACAGGAAACACAAGCTATAACGGGCACATCCGTTTTTCACCACTCGAGACCAGTGCAGCTTATGCCTGGCACCACCCTCGCCCCGCAAGAAAGAACACAGCGTGGGGTTGGGGTTGGCACATTTGGTGGTGATAGCGGGTGTGACGGCCCTGAGGCATCGTTTGCATCGATGCCCCGACCCGTGGGGAACAGGGACATGGGCCGAAACCATTCTTGGCACTTTGGCCCTCTCGGGTCTTATCAAACCATTGAATTCAGACTCAAAAGGGGGCCAGCAGCTCAAGATAGAAACCAGCCCATTCGCGAGAGAAGCATATTCTGCTGCGCCTGCTTCGGAATCTGAAACTTCCCTCGGACTCAACGAGTGGGCAAGAGCTCCCTGCTTGGCCCAGTAGTCCACAGCGGTCGAGCCAGAGATGGCGCACCTGTCCTCAAACTCAGTAGCACTCTCGATGGACCGATGGGCTTTGACCTTGGTCAGCGTGGGCCAGACTTTGCAGGTCCGACTGATCTCCCGCCAGAAAAAAAAAACTGAGCCTCGAGGATCCTTTCAAAACCTTCCCAGGAGACCTCGCACCGCCCAGTAACGCCGCACAATCCACATACACAGGTTTGGGAAGGGCCTCGGATTGGGCTCTACGTAGAACTGCCACTGCGAGCCCCGCATGCTCCGCGTCTGCCGCCTGCTGGGCAAACTCCTTGGGCAGCGGGGAATGCATTCCTCTGACCAGCTTTTCAACATTCATTTGGACAACGATGAGGCCAGTTCTCGCGATTTCGGGCAAGTCTCCGTGGAACCAAGACCCGTCAGTGAACAAACCAGCATCTGGCTGGAAATGAAAAGCATCACAGGGCCCCCCTCCTTCACCAAAAAACCGTAAATTCCAGTCTTGGGGGCGGCTCCTGCATGTCGGGGTAGGGGGCCCAACGTCTACTGAACAAAGACGGGATAGGACCAGCCGCCAGGGCCTGATCGACAAGCTCCTGGCAGAAGTGTTGATTCCTCACGGCAACGACTGGCCTGTGAGTACATGTCCAGCAGCGGTGCCACAATGTGTCACGCTCGCCGCAAAACTGGCATCGGTCGGACACATCATACCCCATTCAGCGAGGGAGGCTCCTGTGGGCACGGATCCTGATAGCAGTTGAAAGTACAGGTGCAGGTGGCCTCCGCCCATGGCTTTTGCTACTCTCTGAATCGCAGGTAGCCGCAGCCCGCGGACAGAAATTGCGTGGCCACCTAGCTGGCTGTGAAGGTGCTTGCTGAGATAACGCCTTAAATATACCTCCTGGAGGTCTCTGGTGAAGGCCTCTGCTACCTGAGACGGTGGCCTTTCCGTGAGGATCCACTTAAACCCAGACCGTGAAATGAACGTAGCAGGGCCCTCCCAAGACCAACCGCCAGCTTCCAACCACACCAGCATGTCCGACACAGGCCCGCGAGCCGCATGCAACCGCGGCTTCCGCTGGGCCGTCTGGAGAGTCGCAACAGCATTGTGGAAGCTCCTACTAAGCTGGCCTGGCGTCATGGCGTCACTGTGTCGGGATCTCCCAAAGCTTGAGGGCTCGCTGGCGTGCCACCACTCCCGCGCGTATCTCTTGAGGGGTCCTGGGGCCAAGTAGAACGCTTCCCCTTTGTATCTGTTGGCGGCCCACATGAGCTCCAAGTTGCACCCCTTCTTGCTGAAACCCGAGGCCCTCGCCGAGGCCCTCCTTACGTGGACGATCTCCGACGGCGTAACCCCCTGGACCTCCATCCCATAGGACAGCGTGGAGAGACACCCACTCTTGACTATCCTGGCCTTGGCCCGACGAGATATTTTGAGAATCGCAAGACGCCCAACACGATGACGAAACTTCTTAGCCCTTTTCATGCGGATGGCCCTCGCCAAAGAGGTGCGCTGGTGTTTCCCTGCTGTGAACGCGACCCCAAGACTCCCAGGAGCATAGGATTGAGTACCACTTAGAGTCCCCAGAGCCTCTCGAATGCCCTTCATGAGCCTCGTGGAGTTGGCCGTCACCATCATTTTCTTCTCAGCCAAAGGCGCGCGGAGGGTAGGGGAGATGAAGTAGGCCATGGTCGTTGCCAACGCCTTGGGGTTGGCCACGCACATCTTCGCGTCCGCGTGCCATTCATGGAACGAGATATCGTCAATGTGCAAGCCTAGCCCTGTCTCCGAAATGCCTGTGGACATCTGAACCGATGGCAGCATGCCTTTTGCTTCATATGTCGCTGAGGTGCTTCCTGCGACGGTACCTTGAGTGGGCATAATTGCTTCTGAATAGGCCCCATCAAGTAACAGGTATCTGGTCCACCTGTATGTGGAAATAGTGTACACTAAGACGTGGAGGGGGGAAGAGGCTCGTGATCCCTTGCCTAACCAGCTCCTGGTGGCCAATCTGCTCGTAGAACTGGAGGAAGTCCCAAAGGATGGCCCCGTAGTGGATTTTAGTCCCTGGCACCAAGGTCAGCTTGGCCACTTTGCCTCCAAACAATGTCCAGGCAACTGCGGCCCTGCCCCATGGAGAACTCGGGCCCAAGACCAACCTCTTGTTCCCAGCGCCTGCAGGGGTCCCTGTGGGTCTTTCCGTGGAGCCTCTCGAAAGCATTATAGTGGCCTATGGGCTTCCGTCCTTTGTCAGGTCGCCCCATGAGGAATGCAGCCGGCTGCTGCATCGAGGACGGCGCCTGTCCTACCACATCCATAAGATGGTACATCCAGGAATCCACTCCTAGGGATTCAAGGCTTAGAATTCTTAGGCTTACGCCACACCGCCGACCCCTTGTTTATGCCCATCTGGGGGTAGTAGAAGCTGCGAAGGGGTGAAAAGCGAGTTTTGGAGCCACTTGGGGGCCGTTTCGGAGCCTCTGGGGTGCTTCTTGGGGGTTCCTTGGGGCGTCTGGGCGGCCTCGTGAGGGCCTCTGGGGGCCTCTTGGGGCACTCTTGGGGCCCCCTGGGGCTCCTGGGGGCAGAAAGCTAGAGTTTCAACATGTTTGGTCGCCCTCTTGGGCCCCTCTTGGTGCCGTCTTGGAGCCCTCTTGGGCCGTCTTGGGGACCTCTTGGGCCGTGTTGGGGCCGTCTTGGGCCGTCTGGAGGCCGTCTTGGGGGCCTCTTGGGCCATCTTGGGGCTTTCTTGGGGGCCTCTTTGGCCGTCTTGGAGCGTCGGGAAGCCGAAAAGGCGGAAAAGCAAAAAACATCGAAAAACACTATGGAAAATCAACAATTTTAGACTCTTGGGGTCCTCTTGGGAGGCTTGTTTGGGACCTCGGGGGCCGTCTTGGAGACCTCTTGGCCCGTCTTGGGGCCATCTTGGGCGTCTTGGAGCGGTCGTTTGGCGTCTCGGGGCCTTCGTGGGCCGTCTTGGAGGCCTCTTGGGGGCTTCTTGGCCCGTCTTGAGGCCCTCTTGGGCCCGGAAAAGCCCCGTGAACCGCTCGTCCCGGACCCCCCCCCCCCTCCAAATCGACCGGACCGGGCTCCCGGGGGAGGGGTTTGGGGAGGGGGAAGCATCTCACACGCCGATGATCCCCAAGGGGTCGGCGGATTCCAAAGTGACAAGGGTGAAAACCGCCAGGAGAACACGTGAACTTGCTAAAGCGTGAACCGATATGTCTAAGACGTTCTGGTGGAACGGGTCCCGGGACAGGGGCCGCCACTGCAGGCGGGTCAAGGGGAGGGTGCACATGGCCTGGCCCAGCTGCTGCCCAAGCTTCCTTCCGAAGCTTGGTCCCGGACTCGAGCCGCACGGGGAGAGAGCTTGAATATCTGGTCCCGCTCGCAGCGGCCTCTTCTCCGAGTGGTTCGCCTGATCGCAGGAAACCAAAAGCCTGGCTACCTTCGTTGCTGACTGCTGATTCACACCAATCCTGCCATGGGGCTCTAGCTTTGCTCCGGTCCTCCAGATGCCCCACTTTCAGAAACACTTCCACGAACGGGATACACCAATCAATGGTTTTGACGTGTTCGGCAGACGGGCTTGGGACTGGCAGCGCGCCAGCAACGGAGGGCAGAAATTGGTGCCAAAAAGCGCCACCTTGCCGCCAGTAGCGCCTGAATGGCCCTCCTCGCACAGGAAGCATGGCCCATTGTCGCAGGAGTAGGAGGCGATAACTGCCCCTGTCCTTATCGTCTTCAAACAGAGCCCTCAACTCTTTGAACCGAAGATAAATCCATTGAATATCGCGGCCAGGGAAAGCGCTGGTACACTGCTTGGTGGCTAACGAAGATCGAACGGGGACCTCATGGAAATCGATCTTGGTGCCTCCAGGTTGGCCTCTGGGGCCTTTGACTTGGGTGATCTGCTTGGGCTCCTCCCAGGCCCGCTCCCTCCAGACATTGAACACTTCCTCCAAAAGAGCGATGCTAGCTTCGCGGTCCTTGCCCCAGATCATGCACCCAGGCCCTTCGTCGTTGAGTCGTGGCTCCAAGAAATTCCTAAGCTTATCCTCGAGGTCGCGATGCTCGGGGGGAGGAACTCTGGGGCCCATCGCAGGTGCAGCAGGGATCTTCTGGAACGCCTTGGACCCGAACCAAGATGTCCTGGCAGGCCTGCTTAATCTTGAAGGTGGCAGACCCGTGGGGGCTGAGCGGGGCGCTGAGGTCCGTGGTGGCATCCTCCGAGGTGTGATCCAAGATGCGGCTGATAATGAAGTAATCGAGAAAGGAAGACGAGCCAGGCACAACATGTGTGGGCACAGCTGGTGCGCGAATCACAGCACTGACCTGCGCCAAAGGTGAAGCAACTGCAAAAGCTGACGGAGACACGTTAAACTCACCTGCTACCACGAACGGAAGTCCATGGGCAAAGCAATCTCTCCATAACAGCATTCATCGCTTGCAAGTTCACCCCTGTCATGCCAATCGAGTCTTCCAAATGCACAGAATAGAGAGCCACCAAGCCACAACCTGCACTCCGAAAGAAAATACGAGAAGCTCTTCCCTCGAAGATGGTCGCCGTCGATTGCGGTGAAATCCAGGAGCCCAAGTGCTTTCTCGCAATGATGAGGGTCCCTCCCGGAGCATTTCCAGCATCAGTGGTGTTACATTCGCAGCCGAATACCCTCCAACCTCCATTTTGCAGTCCGGCAAGAGTGCGACGGTAGAGCTCACCAGATAACCTGTGTTCTTGCAGGAAACAAACATCGGCATCTGTCACCCTGACAAGATCGGTGAACCCTGGGACCTTCTTCAGCGACTCGAGATCTCCACAGTCCCTAGATTCAGACACCCAACTGGACCCGCTGAACGTGAGCAGCTTGAGAGAATGCAAGTGACTGACCTTGTCACCTGTGCGTCCTGATTTTTTCTGGTTCGAAACTTGGTTGAGCAAATAGTGGGGAGGAGATGGGAGGGGCTCCTCGCACCGAACTCGGACCACTCGTCGTTGGTCCAGTCGGCGAGGGTCATGCCCCTCTCGAAGAACTTGATCCACCCGTGGAGGACCCAGCCGAGAAAGCCACTGACCTCCTCGTAGAAACTGAACCACTCGAGGGTGTTCCAGTCGACGAGGTCACTGGCGTAGACGATGACAGCGACCTTCTCGCTGTCCCTGTGCACGAACATCTCGTAGAACCTGGGCCACTCGTAGGTACCCCAGTCGACGAGGGTTTTTGGAGTACGTAGACGATGCCAACGTGCAGCCCGTTGGCCCTGGGCTTGATGGTGGAAGACTAGAGATCATCAGCACCAGCATTTTCCCACCGGGCTTCAGGGTGCTGAAAGGCTGCGCTGGTCTTTCCTCCAGGTCCTGGCGAGCGAAAACGAGGCTTCTTGCTGGCACGCAACAGCGCCTGCAGGAGCTCGCGCTTGACGGAATCGGAGGCCACACCTGCAGCCTCGCAGGCTTCAGTGAAGTCTGCCTCATCGACCGCCATGCTGTCTTCGCGCTGTGCGGGTTCGGGCTGAACCTGCCGCGGAGGCAGAACACCCATGATGCCCTCGTACTTGGCCTCGAGCGACTGCCTGATCTCTGCCGCCTGCACCCCCGCCAGCGTGTTCTGGAAGTCCTCCAAATGGCGCCGCAAGCTCTCAAGGTCGGGCACGCAACCAGGAGTTGGCGGGGATTTCTCTGCAGCTCGTTGCCGAAGACGCCCTGCCGCTGCCAACTTAGCCTCCTCCACCGCGCGGCGCTCATCTGTGATGGCATGCTCCAGAACAGCGCGTTTGTCAGCTCACGACGAACCTGCTCTTGCTCGACCTTCTGGAGCATCCGCGACGGTGGCATCTCGTTCTGCTTGGCTTGCTGCGCAGCTTCCCAGGCAGAGGAAATGGCCGATCTCGACTCTGGGGGGAGACAGTCCTTGAACTTGCTTGAGCAGAGCTGCTGAAGACGGTGCAACTCTTCCAAAGCTCCCAGAACTCGAGACGGTGTTTGGTAACCTTTCCCTCCCCCCCACCTTGTCGAGAGCCAAAGTCACCGTGGGACTGGTACCACCCTCGATTCCCTTTGCCCCCACTCTGCTTCGCGCCAGGCCCAGGGCCTCTTGCGACACGGACCCAGGGTTCACGAGCCCACACCCCCGAAGGAGGAGACGGCACAGAATTGCCCAGGCGAGGTAGAGGCCCACGACAATGGTAACATAACCGAAAGTGGGACGGGTTCTTCTTGCATCCACATGTAGGGCAGGCTGCCCCGACCTCATCGCCTGCGTACTTCCCGCCGCTGCGGGTCATCAAACAGACTGAAGAAAGGGAGCGGGGCAGGGCAATGAAGCCCGCCTGCGAGAGATGGGCACTGAGGGGGCCCTTCCCGAAACAAAAATCGGCTGAACCCCTTGAGAGAGGTTGAGCAGTTAAGGAGCAGGCCCCTTGAGCCAAAATGGCTACGGTCCTCCTCCTCCTCCTCCTCCTCCTCCTCCTCCTCCTCCTCCTCCTCCCCCCCGCCTTCTCCTCCTGCTCGTCCTCCTCCTTCTCCTCCTCCTCCTCCTCCTCCCTCTCCTTGTCCTCCTCCTCCTTCCCCTCTTCTTCTCCTCCTCCTCCTCCTCCTCCTCCTCCTCCTCCTGCCCGCTGGACACGTTCGTTGCGAGAGCCCCCTCCCGGGACTTCCCTGCGCCAGGCGCGTACGGCGCCGACTCCGAGGCGGATGGGGCCTCGGAACCCGTGCGGCCGCAGGCGAGCCCACCGCTCCTCCTCGGCTCTTGTCTGCCCACCTCTTCGGTATATATATATATATATATAGGTATATATGTGTATATGTATGTATGTATGCATGTATGCATGCATGCATGCATGCATGCATGTATGTATGTATGTATGGATGTATGCATGTATGCATGCATGCATGCATGCATGCATGTATGTATGTATGTATGCATGCATGCATGTATGTTTGTATATATGGATGTATGTATGTATGTATGTATGTATGTATGTGTGTATGTATGTATGTATGTATGTATGTATGTATGTATGTATGTATGTATGTATGTATGTATGTATGTATGTATGTGTGTATGTATGTATGTATGTATGTATATATGTATGAATGTATGTATGTATGTATGTATGTATGTATGTATGTATGTATATATATAGTCACACGGTCGGACCGATACACATACACACACATATTTATACACACTACAACAAGCGCGCGCTCAAGTTCTAGCTAGGCTTGATCGGCTCATTAATGTAATCTCATTTTGGTCGCTTCTTGCGTCCAGGGACTCCCATGGAGGCCCTGTGCAAGCCTCGGAACCGTATAGAAGGGGAAGTGCGGAAACGCAAACATCATTGATTTCTTTTCGATATTCAATGATTTGGGGCCATCGAAGGCTTCCTGGTTTTTCTTTTTGCGAGGTGAGAGAGGTCTGAACTGTGGTTTGTTGTGCAAGAGTAGACCAGGGGCCAAACTTTGAAAAAAGGAATTGTGGGATTCCCATGTTTTTCCAGTTCCTCGGCGCTGTTCGGTGCTGTTTTTTGTTTGTGCCTCGCGGGTTTTGTTAGCCGGGCTTCTCAGGGGTGTGGGATCTTCCGGACCCCCTGGGGGTTCTGGAGGCCTCCTGGAGGCCTGGAGAGCCGTCGGAAGGGTGTCTTGGGCTGCGCGGGAGCGTGTTGGGCTGCTCTTTACGTTCTGGGGGCTCCTTGGGGTCGTCTTGGGCTGTCCTTTGGCGTCTTGGGTGTCCCCGGGAAGCTGAGAGGCGCGGTACCGGCCAGATGTCAGGGGATGTGTGGGACCTCCGAGTAGGAGTCCATTTTGAAAAAAAAGGGGGTGCGCGGTACCAGGGCCCTCTTGTGCATTTTTGCGATTCTTCTGGCCCGTTTTGGACCCGTTTTGGCAGTCCTTTGGGCGGTCTTGGGGCGGTCTTGGACCGTTGGAAGCTCGAAAACGCGAGAAGGCCAACCACATCGCAAAAGAACAATCAAACTCGACAATTTTGGTCTCTTCGGGCTTTCCCGGGACGCCTCTCGGACCTCTCTTGGGGCCTTATGGAAGCCTCCTGGAGGCCTGGGGAGCCGTCGGAAGGGTGTCTCGGGCTGCGCGGGAGCGTGTTTGGCCGTTCTTTACGTTCTGGTGCTTCTTGGGGTCGTCATGGGCTGTCCTTCGGCGTCTTGGGGTCTCCCCTGGGAAGCCAGGAGGCGCGGTAACAGCCAGATGTCAGGGGATGTGTAGGACCCCCGAGTAGGAGTCCACTTTGAAAGAAAGGGACTTCTGGGAATCACATCTTTACCTAACATCGAAGACTGGTAGGTTTCTAGTGGTGTCAAAAGAGAGCAGCACATTACTTCAACATTACTTCAACATTACTCCACAGGGGGGTCTGGGCAGCCGTTGGGGGCAGTTGGGTGGCAGTTGGGGGGCCGTTAGGGTTTGCCGGCGGGGATCGTTTTTCGCATACAGTCACACACTTCGTGCTTTTCGATTTCCCAGAACTCCATTCCCGGGCCACATTTTGGAAGCCCGGAGCTAACTGTAGGCCACTTCGTGCTCTTCGATTTCCCAGAACTCCATTCCCGGGCCACATTTTGGATGCCCGGAGCCAACTGTAGGCCACTTCGTGCTCTTCTATTTCCCAGAACTCCATTCCCGGGCCACATTTTGGATGCCCGGAGCCAACTGTAGGCCACTTCGTGCTCTTCTATTTCCCAGAACTCCATTCCCGGGCCACATTTTGGATGCCCGGAGCCAACTGATCATCATCACAACCACCACCATCACCTCAACCACCATCACCACCACCACCATCATCACCAGCAGCAACAGCATCATCATATCATCATCATCATCCTCCTACTCCTCCTCCTGCTCCTCCTCCTCCTCCTCATCATCATCATCATCATCATCATCATCATCATCATTATCATCATCACCACCACCACCATCATCACCGTCATCATCATCATCATCATCGTCATCATCATCATCATCAGTATCATTCTCATCATCATCATCACAACCACCACCATCACCTCAACCACCATCACCACCACCACCATCATCACCAGCAGCAACAGCATCATCATAATCATCATCATCATCAAAATCATCATCATCGCCATCATCATCATCAGCATCAGCATCAGCATCGTCATCGTCATCGTCATCGTCATTGTCTTGACAGCCGTCTTTGGTTCAGGACGTGCCCTTCCAATGGCCCTCCCTTGGCCCTATCCTTACCGGCCTGCAGCCTCGGCTTCTCGCGGTGCTTCTCAGCCTGCGGAGGAAGACCGACACACGCCTGCGGCCGCGCCTGCTCGCTGTGATCCTCAACCTGCGTCTTTTACGGTCGCCTCTTTTAACTTCGGGTTCGAGCAGAGCATGATGATGGGGAAGAACTCCAAGACTCACTGCTCCAACTTCGGGCGGATTTGCGCCAAGATAGTCGAGGAAGTCGATGCTGACCTTTTCTTTGGGTGCGAGGTCGGTGCGTTTCGTCAAGGCCTGAGTCGAGCATCCATCAACGTGAAAGACATCCTGACCAAGCCGTTCGGCGACAGCATCGGCTTCTGCGAGGTCGCCAACTACTTGAGCCTATGGGGCTTCGGCGGTGCTTCTCAGCCTGCTGACGTGTCCCTGCGCGAGGACACATGCATCTACCACGTCCCCATCGCGCGACAAGTGGACGCAGTGATCTCACGGTTCAATGTGCAGACAGGAGGCCATGACAAAGTTTACGTGGTCGTCGGAAACATGCACATCGCTTGCGGAAGCCACCCTCCCAGCATTCACACGCGACAGAAAGCAGTTCGGCTGCTCCACTTGGACGGGGTCGCCGTGCTTCTCAGTACTGGGGAGCCGGGCACGCCGGTCGTGCGCCTCGTAGTCGGCGACAACAACTTGACCGCGCAGGAGGCGCGTGAAGCTTTCCAGCGCCGCGCTGACGACGAGGCGTTATGGGAAGTCTTCGCCCCCCCGGCGGACCGCAAAGGCGACAACGCGGCAGTCTGCGGAGCAGTCGCGCGTTTCCAGCCCGTCGCTGTTGGCGCCTCCTACATGGACCGTGGCATGCGAAACGACGCACACGATGCTGTTGCGGTCGTGCTCACCGCCCCTGATGCTTCTCAGCCTGGGGAGACAAAGAGGCGGAAGATTGCATTCGGAGGATTGTCTGGCGCCGACGCCGGCTCAGAGACCGAGGTGGAGGGCTCCTCGGTGCACTGGTCCCGGTCCCCGAGCCCCGCTCCTGTGCATGCACCGCTTTCACCGACGTCACCGGCCGACGCCGCAGCCTGCGACGAGCCCGAGGATGAAGTTAGTCGGCGCGCGCATGAGCTGCACAAGGAGTTGAGGGAGTATTGGGGCCAGAGGTATGACGCGGCCTACGACCCGAAACTCCTCCACCACCTCAGCCTCTTGCTGTTCAAGAAGAGGACGTCCGCGCAGCCTGCGGACAAAGATCCAGCTGGTGCTTCTCAGCCTGGCTCGGACTGTGACACCGCCTTCGCGTCGCGGGCGGAGACTGTCCGAGCCATTGTGTCTGTCCTTAAGGTTCGCCATGAGTTTCTGCGGAGCAAAAACATCGCCGACTTGCGGCGCGTCCTCGCCGACGCTGAGCGCGGGGAACTCGCAAGACGTGTTCGCACAGAGTACGAGCAGTCCGAACACCAGCTGGCGCTACAGGAACGAGATGGCGAGAAGGGGAAAGCGAAAGGCAAGACTCCACCACAAGGTTCTAGCGGAGCTTCTCAGCCTGCGGGAAAAGGCGAAAAGGGGAAAGCGAAAGGCAAGACTCCACCGCAAGGTTTTCGTGGAGCTTCTCAGTCTGCGGGAAAAGGCGAGAAGGGGAAGGCGAAAGGCAAGACTCCACCACAAGGTGGCCAGCCCCAAGGGGCAGGCCAAGGGAGTCTCGCTAAGTTCCTCAGAGAGCAGAAGCGTAAGCGGTGGTGCCGGCATCTGCAACGCGTGTGCGGCACAAAACAGATCTGGGAGGTGCTGGCTTTCTCCGGCCGCTTCGACGTTGACATGCTCACCCAAGCCCTGCGCGCCGAACCCAGTGAGCCACCTGCGCACGACGAAGTCATGAAGGAAGAGCGCCGCCGCCTCCACCACGACAAGGCTGAAGCGATCTCGCGCTACAACGAGGGTGAGCGGCTCGCCCGCTATCGGCAAGAGCTCTTACGTGGCGGTGCCACTCAGCCTGCCGACCAGGGCCAGGAGGTTCCCACTCTCACGCGCAAGCAGTTGGACGTGCTTCGGAAGTGGGACAGCGGCGAGTTGCGAGTCAACCGGAACCAGGCGATTGTGGCGCTAGGACACGGCCGCCTCCGTACTGCGGGAGGGGATTACCTGGACATCGGCGGCAGCGCGGGCGGTGGGTCTCGGCGCATCGTCGACTCTTGGCAGCCGCCGGATTGGCGCGACTTCCTGCAAGACGAGCGGGAGAGGTGAGGTTTCCAAGCCCGTGTGCCCGCGGTGCTTCTCAGCCTGCGGTGCTTTTCGCTAGACTCTTTCTGCGGTGCTTTTCTGCGAGTAGTAGGACTCTTTTCAGCCTGCGGGTTTCTGCGAGTCTCAGCCTGCGAGTTTTCAGCCTCCAGGTTTCGCAGGCTCTCCGCTTCGCACGCCGCTCCTCAGTTCCAAGACGTCTGCCAAAGTGCAGGCTTTTGCAGGCTGCCGCTTTTGCAGCCTGCCACCACAGCTCAGCGTGCCGCTTTTGCAGACTTCCAAGACGTCT